GGGCTGGGATGTGGTGTCTGGACACTAGGGTACACAGGTGTGGGCTGGGATGTGGTGTCTGGACAGTAAGGTGTGGGCTGGCTGGTGTGGGCTGGCTGGTGACAGTTTGACAACATGGGTTCAGAACAGGGCGCTCCTGCCTCTCACAGTTGCTGGACACAATAACATGGTCTTAATCCAGGGGTCTCCAAACTTGTCAATGTAAGCGCCACGTTATATATTTACCATATTTATGCGGGCCGGAGGAATAAAAAATGACAAAAAACAAAAAAAAATCAGTGCCAGTAATTTAATTTCCTCAAATATTAAAGTATAAACATGGAAAAATTAAAACATATCTTTTTGGAAAAAATCAGGGTAAACTAAATAGATTCCTGCCTTTAGTTTTATGCAACCAAATTAGTGTGACGAATGATACTGTCGTTTTGACTTCAAAATTTCATTAAAATCAGGTTCCAGATTAGATGAGCCAATTGTAAGAATTGATTTCAAGTGATCATCAGACAAATTTGCTCGATAGTTAGATTTCACATACTTCATTTTGGAAAAAGTTTGTTCACACAAGTATGTTGAACCAAAAATGGACACAAAACTACAAGCAAACTTGTAGTTTTGTGCATCACAACCAATCAGTTGTGTATAACTGTATATTTAGGGGCCTGGTGGCTGAGTGGACAGCGCTCGGTGTTCGTAATCCTAGGGACAGGGGATCGATCCCCGGCGATAGCGGAAACAAATGGGCAGAGTTTCTTTCACCTTGATGCGCCTGTTTAACTAGCAGTAAATAGGTACCTGGGTGGTAGACAGCTGTTACGAGCCACTTCCAGGGAGGGGTGTTAAAAAAAAGTTGATTGACAGTTGAGAGGCGGGCGGAAAGAGCCAAAGTTCAACCCCCTGCAAGCACAACTAGGTGAATACAACTAGCAGGATACATCTACTTACGAACTTGTACATCTTTTCTCAATCTTTGACGGCTTTGTTTACTTATATTAAACAGTTAATGAGCCCCGAAGCACCATAAGGCTGTTTGTAACTATAACAACATTTCATTGGGAAGTTTCGATGTTCATAAAGTGTTTAATAAATGTAAACAAAGCCGCCAATGACTGAGAACAGATGGACGGGTTGGTAAGTGCCGGAGTAACTGCTCAATGAACCCGGCTCCTGGTTGACATATGCCTGGCGTCATCCGCATGAGGGATATATGGGGGAGGAGTGGGGGGGGGGGGAGCCAGCTGTGTATGAGTGAGATCTCTAGCTCACCCCTCATGCCTAACTGTGGCAGGAGGGCATAGTGAGGGGTCGAGCTGGATTAGAAGGCAGAGTGAGGGGAGGATGGCCGAATGAGTAGACTTAGAGGCTGTGGAAGACAAGCAAAGTGCTGATGAGTGTTGGGCCACATTTCTCACAAGCCTCACCTCTCACACCCCCTCACACCCCCTCACACCTCCCCTACAGCAGCAGGTGAGGGTGTCGGCGACACAGGCAGAGAACAACGCCAGACAGAGCCAGGTGTAGATGACAGGTGTAAGGTGTCCACGCTATATATAACTCACTGGATGTATCCTTTAAACGCGTTACAATTCATTCCAGCTGGATACATTGATGCCATGAAGGATATAAACACTGATTTGGCGAGAAAAAAGAGCAGCGTATTTGTGGGAGAACATAGCAAATGACGCCATTGTGGGGGGATACGTCGACAAACTTTAAGAACAGGATGTACACAGTCACGAACCATTAGGCCTACACGAGCCAGTAGGCCTACTGTACTCGGTAATTTATTCTCGTCTCGCATACACCTTAACATCACCATTCTCTCTCTTTCTCTCTTTTCACATCATGTAACATTCTATAAGCTAGATTAGCAGACGTAAGTGGCAGGGGGGGGGGCTGGAGTGTACTAAGGAGTACCTAACAGGTGAGAAACAGATACATGGGATGGAGCAGGACTAGGGGGGGGGAGGGGAGTAATGAGGACGTGGGACGAGTCGAGATACACTCCATATATGAATTCCAGTGTAGGTAAGAGCCAGGTCCAGGAGCTGAAGTTCGCACCTGACAAACAGGGGTGGGTGAGCGCGCACACACACACACATTGTTGTGATTGTGTGTGTTGATTGATTGTTGAGAGGCGGGACCAAAGAGCCAGAGCTCAACCCCCGCAAACACAACTAGGTGAGTACACACACACACACTGGCCACTATGTAAATAATCAGTCAGCGCTCACCTCAACATATTAATGCTCATCTCTCTCCGACACACACACACGCACACGCACACGCACACACACACGCACACACACCTCCATTAACAGTTTTTCCCCTGCCATCACAGCCATCCTCTGTGATGGGGGAAGGCGACAAAAACCTCGCCGACACTGGTGACTCAACAAGCTGTGTGTGAGGGCAGTTTGCACACACACGTCTGCTCAACATCCCTCCCCGGTGACGTCAGGGCGGTCCCAGCAAAAAACACAGCACCTGCCCCTAGGAGGCTGCTAGGCGCTCCTAGCTGGCCGCCTTGCCACTCACAATAATATTTTGTATTTACAAGAAGGTACAATGGGTTTGTGAGATTACATAAGGCTGGTATTTTGACATTCTTAAATTTTAAATTTGCAGTGGTTGAACCCGTAAGATACACAGATACCGTAACAAAATATACAAGCCTAACGATAGACTCTATATAAGCCTAACGTGTATGCATACATCCTGGCTGCCTGTCCCGACACAATGAAGTATTAATTATTATATTCACTTTTCTACAAGTTTCTCCTTTATCACGAAGACAAAGAAAATGAGTCACAGAAAACGGAGGTGCCGTGTATGAAAGGGTAACTCACCAAATTTGTGAGTGTCGCGGGGACGCTGTCTTGTATTAATTAAACCATGTTTAATATCCTGAGACTATATATTAACAAAACTCTCAGTAAGGCGTGGATACGTGCGCTTGGAACTCTAACCAACAGGCACGGAATCTATTTAAGGGCCTGCTGTAAACAGACTCGTACTATATCAGTATTTCACTGATCTTTAGTTCAATCGTTTCTACTTCTGTACATAGATTTCCCTTGTCCAAGGAGAGCGGGGCGTGTGAGCGGTTCTGGGATTTGTATTTTTTTCCCTTAAAGAGCCGTTCGCGTTGCAATTAACAACTTCTCTTTTTACTTTGTGGTTTGTGATTGGAAAATATATCCTGAGTGGTGGCACTGTGCCTACTTTCTCGCGACACTGGCTTAGGTCTGAGTTATCTAACTGTTCTCCCCAGTTAATTTCTGTCAGATCTTGGTTCATTATTTCCCAGCTAATCATGGACGTCTCTTAAACCCAGCCAAGAGCTCTTACACAGTCTCTTAAACCCAGCCAAGAGCTCTCACACAGTCTCTTAAACCCAGCCAAGAGCTCTCACACAGTCTCTTAAACCCAGCCAAGAGCTCTCACACAGTCTCTTAAACCCAGCCAAGAGCTCTCACACAGTCTCTTAAACCCAGCCAAGAGCTCTCACACAGTTTCTTAAACCCAGCCAAGAGCTCTCACACAGTCTCTTAAACCCAGCCAAGAGCTCTCACACAGTCTCTTAAACCCAGCCAAGAGCTCTCACACAGTCTCTTAAACCCAGCCAAGAGCTCTCACACAGTCTCTTAAACCCAGCCAAGAGCTCGCAAAGCTAAACACAAAACCTTTAAAGGAACAAGCCTTCTGCCTTTTTGTACTGGCAGACGACTCTGCCACTGGCAGACGCCTCACAACTCAGGCCTCTCCTCACACAGCCATGAGACACACCCAAGACATGTGATAAACGACCCACACTCACACCAGTGCAGACGCCCCTAGCAGAGGGGAAATAAATAGGAAGTGTGAGGGGTTAGAATGAGTGGCTCGAGTTTTGACTCATTGCTCATTTATTATATACCTCATACCCACTCCGAGGGCGGTGGTGGACCCCATACCCACCCCGTGGGAGGTGGTGGTGGACCCCCATACCCACCCCGTGGGCGGTGGTGGACCCCCATACCCACCCCGTGGGCGGTGGTGGACCCCATACCCACCCCGTGGGCGGTGGTGGACCCCATACCCACCCCGTGGGCGGTGGTGGACCCCATACCCACCCCGTGGGAGGTGGTGGTGGACCCCATACCCACCCCGTGGGTGGTGGTGGACCCCCATACCCACCCCGTGGGTGGTAGTGGACCCCATACCCACCCCTTGGGTGGTGGTGGTGGTGGTGGACCCCATACCCACCCCGTGGGTGGTGGTGGACCCCATACCCACCCCGTGGGTGGTGGTGGACCCCATACCCACCCTGTGGGAGGTGGTGGTGGACCCCATACCCACCCCGTGGGTGGTGGTGGACCCCATACCCACCCCGTGGGAGGTGGTGGTGGACCCCATACCCACCCCGTGGGTGGTGGTGGACCCCATACCCACCCCGTGGGTGGTAGTGGACCCCATACCCACCCCTTGGGTGGTGGTGGTGGTGGTGGACCCCATACCCACCCCGTGGGTGGTGGTGGACCCCATACCCACCCCGTGGGTGGTGGTGGACCCCATACCCACCCCGTGGGAGGTGGTGGTGGACCCCATACCCACCCCGTGGGTGGTGGTGGACCCCATACCCACCCCGTGGGCGGTGGTGGACCCCATACCCACCCTGTGGGAGGTGGTGGACCCCATACCCACCCTGTGGGAGGTGGTGGACCCCATACCCACCCTGTGGGAGGTGGTGGACCCCATACCCACCCTGTGGGAGGTGGTGGACCCCCATACCCACCCCGTGGGAGGTGGTGGTGGACCCCATACCCACCCTGTGGGCGGTGGTGAATCGCCAGAGGGACCTCTAACACTGACCTCTGACCACCCCACCGACTCCTCCCCCTCCCTCACCCCTCGCCCCTCACTTCCTTCATCTGTGATGATGGTGGGGGTCGAGGACCCCCCTACCCCCTTACCTACCCCGCAAGGTCCTGTATAACATAATGCACAATTTTGGTACTTACGTGAATTTGGTATCTCGTACTCCACTTCGAGGTCGACCTTGTCCCCGGCGTTCTTGAGGAGTGAGACTATCTGGGCGTGGGAGAGGGCGTGGGTTCGAACCCCGTTGACGGCGAGGATGTAGTCGCCAACACTGAGGGCGTCGGAGCGATGCGCCGGCGACCCCGGCCGGAGGTTGGCCACGCGGGCCCGGTGTCCCTTGTCCACGCCTCCTGTAACACAACAGGCAGCCCGCGTTAGGAGGTACGATGGGAAGGAAGGCAAGGGAAGGGAAGGGAGAGGTTGTCGTGGAGGGCGTTGGGGGAGTGTGTGTTGATGTGTGTTAGTTTACATTCTTCTTGTGGGTGGTGAGCTGTTGCTTGTGTGGGGGATTATGTCAGGTGTGGGCGTAGGTGGGCATGCGTGGGTGGGGATGGGGGTGTGGGTGGGCGTGGGGGGTGGGCAAGAGGTCTGGGAGCTGTTTACGTAATGGTTTTTTTAACACACATATTTAGCGTGAGATTGATAGAGTAAAAATCTCTTGGGAAGTCGCACATCACATTTCATTGTCTGGGAAGGAAGGTAGGCTTATTAAGTACTTCATTACAGTAAAATAATCATTTGAATTTATATAAATTGCTACAATTCTGGTTGCTCTGAACACACGTACAGCATTGTATTTTTTTGCTTAATTATTAGGGGAAAGCGCCAAGTTATTACGACTATATAGCACTGGGAAGGGGTGGATTTAGGATGGGACGGGGGGAAAGGAATGGTGCCCAACCACTTAGACGGTCGGGGATTGAACGCCGACTTGTATGAAGCGAGACCATCGCTCTACCGTCCAGCCCAAGTGGCTGGGCTTTCAAAGAAGAAACGCCATCTCAAAGATGATACTTTTCAAGCACTAGTGCTCTCTAGGGTGGAACACTCCTACACACTAACGGCCCCTTTCAAAGCTGGAGAAATTGTTGACCTGGAGAACATCTTATTAAGTTGTTTAGCTTAAGAGGGTATTAGGTCACCCTATGTGTATGTCCATGGGCGACTAACTGGCGTCCAACACAAATTTCCATTTAGAAACTCAGCACTCTTAACTCCATGTCTTTTGATCCACGTGGGATCAAAACTTATGGCAGGAAGTGCAAAATAACTCCACTGAAATGCAAAGGTGCAATAGGTGCGCTAAGAGAGAACTATCAACATCAAGGGCCCAAGACTGTTGAACACTCTCCCTCTACACATATGGGGCATAACTGGCCCATCTCTCCCGGTGTTAAAAAAAAGAACTTAATAACACACCTCCAAAAAGGATATCTGATCAAATAGGCTGTGGAAGCTTTTACCTGGTAGACGACGATGGATGGCTAAGTGGAGTTGAACTGACCTGATCAACCAGGCTGTGAGTCATACAATGTGGCTGCGAATGCATTAGGCAGTGATGTGGTGGAGGCTGACTCCATACACAGTTTCAAGTGTAGACATGATAGAGCTCAGTAGGCTCAGGAATCTGTACACCTGTTGATTGACAGTTGAGAGGCGGGACCAAAGAGCCACAGCTCAACAGATGCAAGCACAACTAGGTGAGTAAACACCCACACACACACACACAGGGCCTGTATATTATCAGAGCTGAGACGATGATGAACGACCTCAGACAAGTAGCAAGCATATTGTTGACTGAGGACCAGTCTTGCCCCTGACGGCTCTGTCTCCTCGTTAACCTCTGACCTCTACACCCGCTGACCTCTACACCCTCCCTGACCTCTACACCCCCCTGACCTCTACACCCATACACTGAGGACCAACACAAACAGGACCAGAGGTGTGGCCCCCTCCCTGCTCCACTGGCTTATCCGGCCACAGAAAGCGAGTGATGATAATTCATAACAGTGGCCAGCTTACACGGCCAGCCGGCTCCAGCCTCGCCTGGTGTATGGCAGGGGCTCACCTCACGCCCTGGGGATGGGGGTGATGACCCCCACTCCCGAGGGGGGCAGTGTTGGCAGCATCAGCCCCCCCTTATATACCCCACCACCCACCCCAGGGACACGGTACGAGGTCTCCTTTTCCTGGGGGACACTGCGAGGTCATAGGTCATATTCCTTGAAGGGTGTCAGGTGGGTATGGTCCATGTCAGTCTCTCTCGCTCACTGGAAGGAAGAAGAGCTAGGGGGAAACATGATCACCACATACCAGATTCTCAGAGGAATTGATATAGTAAAGTCAATTTATTTAGCACAGGGGGACACAGGTGGAAACAATTGTGTCCATGGCCATAATTGTGTCCACGTGGCCAGGAGATTGGCCAAGACAAGTCACGTGAGTGGTTGACTGAATAGTCCCTGAGGCAGTCTAGAACTGTTCAGACACCTTAAATGGGATAGCTCCCCCCCTCCCTGGGGGATGTGGCCAGGGGCTGGGTGAGTGTTGCACCCCCCCCCCCCATATGCCCCCCACCATGATAATATTGCAGTTTGGGGTGCAGAACCCCCAGAGGGCCATCATACCCAAACACCATAGATGAGTCCTCTCTTTCATGGGGGCATGTGTGTGTGTGTGTGTGTGTGTACCCTGCCTACCCAGATAGAGTTCTCTCTCAGAGTATCTGTTGCACTGTGCTTTTCAACGAGGGTATTCTGCACATCCAGTCATGCCTCCTGGTCTCATGTGCTGTTATTTCTGTGTGCAGGTTTGGGACCAGCCCCTCTACTGTTTTCCACGTGTAAATTATTATGTATCTCTCCCGCCTGCGCTCAAGAGAATACAGATTTAGGCTCTTTAGTTGGTCCCAATAGTTTAGATGTTTTACTGAGTGGATTCTAGCAGTAAAGGATCTCTGCACGCTCTCCAGGTCAGCAATTTCTCCAGCTTTGAAAGGGGCTGTCATTGTGCAGCAGTACGCCACTCTAGAGAGCACAAGCGTTTTGAAAAGTATCATCGGTAAAGCATCTCTATTGTGAAAAGTTCTTGTTATCCAACCTGTCATTTTTCTTGCAGTTGTGACGGCTACTTTATTGTGTTCTTTAAAGGTAAGGTCTTCCGACATGAGTACACCCAGATCCTTTACATTGCCTTTTCGTTCTATGTTATGATTTACCTGAGTTTTGTACGTGGTTTCCGTTTTTATATTTTCATTTTTGCCATAGCGCATAAGCTGGAACTTATCTTCGTTAAACACCATATATTATTTTCTGTAGCCCATAGAAAGACCTGATTTACATCTGATTGGAGGGTTGCCGTGTCCTCTTTGTTGCCTACTCTCATGAAGATCCTAGTGTCATCTGCAAAGGATGATACAGTACTATAGATTGTGTCCTTGTCTATGTCCAATATGAGGATGAGAAAAAGTACTGGAACAAGCACAGTACCCTGGGGGACTGAGCTCTTCACGGTTGATGGACCGGATTTTATTTTGTTGACAATTACACATTGGGTTCTGTTAGTCAGGAAATTGTAGATCCATCTGCCTATTTTTCCGGTAATTCCTTTTGAACACATTTTATGTGCAATAACACCATGGTCATATTTATCAAAGGCTTTTGCGAAATCTGTGTAAATTACATCAGCGTTTTGTTTGTCTTCCATAGCATCTAATGCCATATAGTGGTCCAGCAACTGCGACAGGCAAGAGCGCCCTGTTCTGAAACCATGTTGTCCGGGGTTATGGAGTTGCTGTGATTCCATGTATTTTGTGATCTTGCTTCTTAGTTCTCTCTCAAAGATTTTTATGATGTGCGATGTTAGTGCTATCGGTCTGTAATTTTTTGCCTCTGCCTTATTTCCTCCTTTATGGAGTGGTGCTATCTCTGTGTTTATGGCTTCTTCAAAATCCAGTGCGGATAGAGTGACGTCTGATATATGATTTGATGTTGGTATCATATCCATGAAAAATTCATTTGGGTTATCAATCTTTAGTGCGTTTAATGGCTCACTGAAAACAGAGTCGTACTGCTTCCTCAGTAGCTCGCTCATTTCTTTGTTGTCATCGGTGAAAGTTCCATCTCCCTTTCGCAGGGGGCCGATACTAGATGTGGTTTTTTATCTTGATTTTTCATAGGAGAAAAAATATTTAGGATTTCTCTCTATTTCACTGATGGCCTTTTCCTCTCTTTGCCTCTCCTGGGTTTTGAATGATTCTTGTAGCTTGAGTTCAATTGTTTCTATTTCTCTTCCTAACCTTCTTCGCCGTTCTTGAGATAGGCAAGACGGGTAGCAGGGTACCCACACCAGGGTACCAACAAGAGGGGGCAGGGTGCCCCCAGAACATATTTCTACACCGGGGGCACCAGGGGCAGAGTACCCACACCGGGGGCAGGGTACCCACACCAGGGGGCAGGGTACCCACACCAGGGGGCAGGGTACCCACACCAGGGGGCAGGGTACCCACACCAGGGTCCAAGGTACCAACAAGAGGGGGCAGGGTGCCCCCTGAACATATTTCTACACCGGGGGCACCAGGGGCAGAGTACCCACACCGGGGGCAGGGTACCCACACCAGGGGGCAGGGTACCCACACCAGGGGGCAGGGTACCCACACCAGGGGGCAGGGTACCCACACCAGGGGGCAGGGTACCCACACCAGGGGGCAGGGTACCCACACCAGGGGGCAGGGTACCCACACCAGGGGGCAGGGTACCCACACCGGGGGCAGGGTACCCACACCAGGGGGCAGGGTACCCACACCAGGGGGCAGGGTACCCACACCAGGGGGCAGGGTACCCACACCAGGGGGCAGCCGTCGTAACACAGGAGGGAAGCAGGAAATCGCTGGTCACGCCCGTCACCTGGTTTTTGTTCGCAGTCCACAGACAACCCCCCCCCCCCTGGTGTGGGCGTGGTCTGGCCTACCCTCCCTGGTGTGGGCGTGGTCTGGCCTACCCTCCCCCCTCTGGTGTGGGCGTGGTGTGGGCGTGGTGTGGGCTACCCCCCCCCCTCCCCCCCACCTCAGCCAGCAGACAGCTACTTGCTACATTCATGAGGAGTATTAATAGTAGTAGAGAGGGAAGATGAGGGGAGAGAATAGGAGAAGATGACACTCCAGCAGATGAATGAAGGGGAGATGGTGTGTGTGTGTGTGTGTGTGTGTGTGTGTGTGTGTGTGTGTGTGTGTGTGTGTGTGTGTGTGTGTGTGTGTATTCACCTAGTTGTGCTTGCGGGGGTTGAGCTCTGCTCTTTCGGCCCGCCTCTCAACTGTCAATCAACTGTTACTATTTTTTTCTACCCCCCTAAC